CAATTTTAAAGTTTGGGGTATCCCAATAAACCAGGAGCTCAAGTGCTCAACCCAATTTTGCTGCTCCATTCACTCGGGCTTCTACCCAATGCGTCTCGCCTTTGAAAGCATATCTACCAGACGTCTTAAGAAATGCAAATCAAATGTCATAAGAATCTTTTGCTTATAGCAAGCCTCCCATGTACAATTGTCCTACACAGTAATAATTATAAAATAGTTATTATGAAAAAAAAAGAGAAATATTTGAAAACTAATTAAAGATGAATAAGTTTTGCAAAGGTATCACAATTGATTAAGTATCTTCAGTTCTATTGATTAGAATTTGAAATTGAATTCGATTTCTTTTGTTTTTTCTATATTTTTTCACGTGAAATTGTGTTAAAATGGAATTGGTGATTTGTAATTTCACTGAAAATCTTTAAAGTATTTGATGATTAACTATATTTTTGCATGGAGTTGTGTCTTACCTAATTAAAAAAAATTTATAAAAAAATATTTTAATTATACCTTGAATATGAAAAATAATTTTTGTCTATTAAAGGGTGGACTTGTGTTATGAGAATGGAAGACTCTTCAAAATCGCATCTGAATTACATGTTGTCTAATAGGGGTGTAAGTGAGTTGGGTTGGACTTGGACCAAGTTTGGATAAACTTGTTATCCGACCCAATCAAAATTTAACGGGTTGGGTTGGATCAAATTTGTGCAATTTTCTTAAAAATTTTAATCCAATCCAATCATGAAAGGGCTAGGTTGGGTTGGATTGGGTTAATCGGGTCAACATAATTATATTTATTTATTTATTATAAAAATTTAAATATTTCAAAATAGATGTAAACAAATTCAATGTTATCAACTTATAAAACAAACAATGATATAAATTAAATTTTAAAATAAATTTATTAATTTGTTACATATTTATTAACTCAAAAAATCAACATTAACTAATACAAAATAAAAGTTTAAAATAAATATATTATATTATTATAATGCTATTTAATCTAAAACACAAAATTTGTTACTAAGTAAGAGTGATAATAAGTATTATCCTAAGCAAATGATCATTCAAATATTATTATTATTATTATTATTATTATTATTATTATTATTATTATTATTATTATATATGACCGAGTTGGGTCAGGTCATTAACGGGTTGGAAACACAAAATTCATTACCTAACCTGTATAATATTTGATTTTGGTCGAATTGAGTTGGATTTGACTCAAACACTGAAAAAATCTTATTTGAACTCATTGGATTAGTTTGAATTGCCCGCTTACACTCCTAATAACTAATGTCATTGGTTACCTATATGTCATACTTTGACTACAAAAGTTACAAAAGTTAATATTTTTGTTAATATTCTTTTTTTGTCACCGAGAGGTATCCCTCTTGTCAAACATAAGAACCAATCTTCTTTGGAATTTGATAGACATCAAGTATGTGAGCATCTCTTCCCAACTTGAGTTTTTTTATATTTACAAGAGATAAGATTCAATTTATAACCAATTAATTAAGTGACATCAGTCACTTGCTACTAACGTCAACACAAATTTTGTACAAAATTCAATATAAAAAATGGTCATAAATGTTTTCTAAAGAAATAAAAATACCAAAATTAAATGAAAGGTTAATTTGCCCTTTATATTTAAAAGTGAAATTAAGAGTAATTGTACTTTTGGTCCTCTATTTTCATCGATTTGCAATTTTAGTCCTTTTTTTTTTTTTTTTGGTAAAGTAGGAAAACTAAACAAAGCACACAGCTCAAGACATAGAGTCTCTCCCTAACGGAAACAAAACAAAATCTGGAGGACTCCTCCAAAATACATTGGAACCTAGGTTCCTTACACCCCAACTAGCAAGCGTATGAGCTACTGAGTTTATTTCTCTAGGGATATGACTTACGTAAACTACCCAATCCCTGGCTAGCCATCGCTGAACACGCCGAATAACATCATAGTGCTTGTGCAGATAATCCATATCCGTTGGCCGATCTTGAAACAACTTAACAGCTCCCAGGCAGTCACATTCGCAGTTCACCTTCCGAAACCCACCTTTCCAACAAATCGAGAGACCCTCCTCCAGAGCCAACAACTTTAGTCCTTTTATTTTAAGATAAAAACATTTAATCTCCTAATTTTAAAAAATATAAAATTTTAGTCTTCTTATCAATTTAACATCAATTAATTATTAAGTTTCAATGTTTACTTGTACTTAAATAATGTGATATTTAGTGATAAGGCAATTGAAGATTAAAAAATTTAAAAAAATGCAAGTATTTTTTTTATATATAAAATAAATATCAATTAGACCTCAAAATAAATAAAAACGAAAATCTTTTATATGTTATCTTTTAAAAGAATATCTTGAAATATTAGTCATTAAATATTACATCACTTAATTAAGTAGCAACAAATCATTAATCAACATTAAAATTTAATGATTAACAAATATCAAATTAGAAGAATCAAAATTATGTATTTTTATAAATAGGGAGACTAATATCTCTATTTTGAAATAGGATTACCAAAATTATAGATCGATAAAAAAATAAAAATCAAAAGTGCAATTTAACCTAAAATTAAATTATAATTTATATATTTAAAGATATTTATTTATTATAATTATAATATACTTTATATTTAAAATATTTGTTTATGATGAATATTAGTTACTAGTATATAATATTCTATACAATGCAAATACTAAAATGCTACTTATAGAAGTGAGTATATGAAACAAAGTCTATATTTTTAACAAGTCAAGTAAGCTTGGTTTTCAAAATAAATAGACTAATTTTTTTATCGTGTTTGACTCACGAAACCCATAAATAAATGGATCAGTTCACAAGCCTAATTATATCTAATTTTTCTTTTATAAATATAAAAAAAATCAATAAAATTAATTTTCCTTTTTTAAAACCTATGAAAATATGAGAGAAAAATACATTAAAAATAACTGGCTATCCAGACTAAGCCTGTAAAATCCATGATGGGGCCAAAAATTTTACTATACCTATATAGATTTAAAAAAAAAAAATTGATTTGTATGTCAAGACTTTGAGTTAAACAAATGAATCCGTAAATTAGGATTCGTATACCCACTTGTACTCATTACTGGAATTAAAAAGTTGAAGTAAAATAGACATATTGTTATATTGGAATTTTAGTAGTGCCCCTGAAATTTTAATGGATGGAAGAAATAGTAAAATGGTACAAGATTTTATAAAATATATTGTTTGCTAACGAATTAATGCAATGTGAAACACACGTAAAACTAAAAGTATGTAACTAGTATACTGGGAAGAAAAGAATGCTTCCTTGAGACGCTAAGCCGGTTGCCAGTCAAATATCCGCGTCAAGCAGCAGTGGGCCCTATAGCGGTCCTCCCGTGTGGTAAATGCCATCAGCATCATGCTGCCATTCTTCGTACGCTTCGTAACTGACAGGTGCCCGTCATCCCAAGGCGGAAATTGGGAACCCCCCACACCTCCATAGTCCATAGTCCATACCACTTGTCCAAATTCCCAACCCAATCAAACCTTCTTTCTTTTCACACAACAACGACCATATTTTATTTTATTAACTCACTTTTTTATTTCTAAGCCTTCTATTTCTATTGAAAGGAACAATTTTCAGTCTAGTAAAACTTTCCATCAAATAATTATTTTTGTTTAAATTTGGATAAAACTCAGTATCATCGTAACTAGTATTGCTCATTAAAATTACTAATATTACTATCAAAATTAGTATTCTTTTTGTAATTAATGTTTTTATCTCTGACTAAAATAGACAGTAATTACTAGAGCAAATATTAATATTCATTGGAAGAAAGGTAACTTTAATAGTACTAATATTTATGAGAGATTACTTATTGTGTGCTATTCTTTTTCTTTGCTAACTACATTATTAATACACGATAAAAAATAATATTCCTTTTTAAAATAATTTTTAGATGTTTAATAAATTATATTTGATATATATTTTTATTTTTAATTATCTTTTAGAGATGATTTTGTTTGAGGTTTGATAATGTATTAAATATAGGCACGTCTCTCAACAAAAGAAATTATTCCTTTATAATATTTGAAGAAAAAATAAAATTTAAAATAAATGTTATGTTAATTTTTCATAATATTAATTATATGTTTTCCATTTATATCTTTCAATTTTTTATTATATGTTTTTTAAAAAATAATTATTGTGTTACATTATTTTAAACAAAGAAGATTAATTTTATAAAATTATTATTCTGTTTCATTTATTTATTATTAATTTTTATTAATCTATGTATATAAAAAAAACTTAAAAAAAACACCTATTATAGGATGAATGAAATAATAATCCATGGTCCCAATCAATATTTATATAACACATTCAATATTTTGATACCCACAGCTGCAACTCTTCTCACCAAATTGACTCCTACATCGATAAAAATGATGCATCTAATCACAAATCCTTATATTTACTAAAAATATCTAATTAATAACACTTGATATACTATATAAAAATCAATAAAAGTATATTGGTCGAAAAGCATCTAATAATTTACGTTCTCAGCATAGATTTGAACCTCTTATGAAGAAATAGCCCTTTCACTATATTCAACCTTGTAAATATTATATATCCATGTTCATGTAATAAAAAAATTGATATTTTTTTAATGGTAAATATTATTATTAAAAGCTAGAAGCCTCTAATAAAAAAGAATTGCTACCTATAATGAAAAGATTTAAAAATAACATAATTTAACGTTTTTCTAAATACCATTTAAAGAAACATTTAATGTGTTGAATTAATATCCTTAATTATTAAAAAATTGAAATTTCCAATAAAAAATGAATAGTAGTAGTTATGATAACACACTGGTTAAGAAATCTGAAAAATTGAATGAATGGAGTAATAGTAATAGTACACCCCTAATCCCCAAACTATCCCTTTCTCTCTCTCTCTCTCTTCCTTTTTGTCCCTTTTTATATCTTTTGTAATAATAACAAGTGGTAGAATTAAGGGGCAGAGTTGCATCCTTTTGAGTTTTGAGTTGGGAGCACACACGCTTCCACAAAGACAAACACAAACACAAAAGCAAGATCTCGAAAAAATAAAAGGGAAAAAAACGAAGAAGAATATGTGCGACGCTTTGCGTTGTTGATATATAGCCCCAACAAGAAGAAGCAACAAACAGTGCATGAAAATCAATGGCGGAGGAGAAAAGAGAAGAGCAAGCGCACCCCAACAACGCATCCTCCACCACCATGCCATTCTCCGACGAGATTCCCAACAATAACTTCACTTTCCCTTTCCAACCACCCACCGTCTTCGACGCCATGCCACCCTCTTCCTCCTCCTCCCACTACAAGCCCTCCTATGGCTTCATGGACTTGCTCGCCGTCCACGACTACAACGCCCCGCTATTCGACTGGCTCCCCTGCGCCGCCGACCACGACCACGTCTTCCACCACCATGCTCCGTCGCCGGACGTCCCGGACTCCTCCGAGGTGCTGAACACGCCGCCCTCGCCCAATTTGTCTTCGATTTCCTCCTCTTCCAATGAGGCCACCGCCACAGTCAGCAACAACGTGGAACAACACAGTGGTAAACCTCCGAATATTGAACAGGCAGAGGAAGAGGGTGGTAATGGAGTCAGAGATGAGCAAGATCAAGACAAGACTGATAAACAGTAAGTATTAAGTAAGGAAAACGACATCTGTATAGTAGTTTAATTCTTTTTTTAGACTATGTTTCGATTCAGTTTTTTTATGTCTTTTTCTTAAACTCTTTCTTTAATTATAATTAAACTTTTATGTCATTCAAATAACCTTACATAATGAAAAAAGAAGAAATATATGTGATATAAAACAAGGTGAAAAATACTTGAATTATGTACTTTTTTTTCTCTATGGTAATATTTATTGCCTTAATGACAAAGAAAAAAGGAAAGGGATAGATAGAGGATAGAGACAAAGAGGGAGTTTGTGTTTCTTATTGGTGAACTTAAAATGGCCTTGTACATTATTTGACTCTGTTTTTTTTTTTTTTTCTTCATAAGGATTTAACTGAGTATTGGTAATTATGCACAAAATGTAAAATAAAAAATGTAACAGGGTGAAACCGAAGAAGAAGAAGCAAAAGAAGCAAAGAGAAGCGAGATTTGCGTTCATGACGAAGAGCGAGATTGATCACTTAGACGATGGGTATAAGTGGCGCAAGTACGGGCAAAAAGCTGTGAAAAACAGCCCTTATCCCAGGTAGTATATTAGTGTCATTTCATATTTCATCTCTTGGCTTGTCTCTAGCGAACGGTCTAGTTGACAAAAAGAGCAGAGTTACGCGGTGCTAAATTAAATTAATTTCTTGCGGGACACGCTAACCCTTGTGCCACGTCACCCTTTAGGAGCTACTACCGTTGCACCAGCGCGGCTTGCGGCGTGAAGAAGCGCGTGGAGCGTTCCTCCGAAGACCCTTCCATCGTGGTTACCACCTACGAGGGCACGCACACCCACCCTTGCCCTGCTTCCTCACGGGCCACCTTCGCCTTCCTTCCCCACCCTCCTCCCACCGCCGCTTCTTTCGCTTCCCCTCACTTTCTCCTCCCACCTCACCACCAACCCTCGCCTTTTAGCTCCACCACTAACTACATCAACACCACCTCCTTCGCTCACCTTGGACACGACCCTTTGTCCAGAGACCATGGCTTGCTTCAGGACATTATTGTCCCAACAAATCTCAGGAAGGAGGAAAAGGATTCAATGTAGGTGAACATTTTTGCTGCTTTTTTTTATATTTATTCGCTTAATTGGGGGAAAATATATATTCATCATCATATACTAATTACTATTAATTGATTTCATTATATTATATGGTCTGTATTGACTACTTCAGCTTCCTATGGTTTGTACTTTGTAATGCTCTAACTCGTTTCAGAGGTTACTGTGGGACAAAACTTCCTCACCTACATTTGAGTTCATCCTATATAAGAAACTTTTGAAATGACTATTCAGTATTGCCCTTGTAGCTTATGGAGGGCCCGAGGCCCGAGCTCTTCTGATTTTGTTAATTTAATTATTATTTGCAATTCTTATATTTGTATGGACTATGCTTTGTAACTAGAGATTAATTTGTTCTATGATCAGACATTTTTTTTTCTTGTCTCTGTTGGTTTGACAGGATTAATTCTTCGCATAGAAAAAAATGAATACTTTTAGGGTTGTGCACTTATACCGTTAGGGTTTTCTCTTAATTTGAGAATCTATATGCTTGGTGCATGGCACATTGTAGAGCCAGCTGAATCTTCCCTGACACGTAAGGCAGAGATTATTAGCTAGGGATGTGAAGGTTCGATGTATGCTTGGAATTTGATCCTTCAGTTATTGATTAGGGATGGTGGGGACTGACTAAAGATGTGATAAGGTTAAGAAAGAAAGTTTATCAAAACCATGTATATACCATCAAAGAGTTTTATAATTGGCCCATAACTTAAGACAATCAATGCATGAGTAGGGGAAAAAGTTGCAATATTATTTTTTGAGCAGTACCATTTAGCTTTTTGTACGATGGCTTTTACTATATCTTCATTCTTCTCCCTACATACTTGCATTGATTAAAAGATGGAGCCATTCAACGATGATGTGTGTTTCCTGGGACGAAAGTAGCTAGAGCATAAATCATTTTCTTATTGGTAGCTAAAGATGCATAGTGCAAGATGCTGGTGTCAGTGCCAAAGATACACATGTTATGATGCTCTACCAGTGAAATTATAATTGTAGCCGAAGCCATTCTCCTAGTCACCTTTCCTTTCCCCAGCTTTCAATAACTTTCTTGTGCACTTTAATGCTCACGCTTGTCACAGAAAACAACCAAAGGAAAGAGCCTAGGCATGGACAAGCTAGTTTTCTTACTCAATCTCTTACTTCCCATGACACAAATAGATAGACCACTATAGAATTTGGTTATGTAACTGACGAAACTTAATTTAAGATCAAGAAATAGTTTTGGGGTTAGGTTTTTTCTTCATTATATATATATAT